GCTTGCGCAGCCCCACCCAAAACTGAGCGTCCGGGAGGGGCGGGTCCCCCTGGCGCGGGAGAAGCCAGCTTCCCGCCGAGGTGCCGCTACTCTCGCGCAGGGCAAGCCGGTCGTCTTCACCCATAGTCTGTAGCAGCCGCCCCCGCTTGTGCCCTGAGATGCACTTGCCCCAGTGACCTTGGAGCTTGGTTCGTGGCTCCGCTAAGTAGCTCCCCCACTCAATCGGCGCCTCCTTCGCCCCCTGGGCGTCCAGCTCGGTTTCGGCGCTCCTCATATCCCGGGCAATACGGGGGCACCTGGATCGGAAGCCCGCCAGGGAAGTGACCCCGAGGCAACTGGCGACGCTGGGGAGGACGAGGGCCCAGCTGCCCAAGTAGGCGCGCGCGGCCGCGTCTCGAGCAGACGGAAAGGCGCATCCTCCGTCGGATAAGCCCAGCTTGGCTTGTTCGCGCTGCGAGGCGTCGAAGGCAAATCCGGCGAACTCTTCGTAGGCGCCGCCCAGGTGGTCTCGTAGTTAGCTCGCAGCAAATGGGTAGCGCAGCTCAACGCATACGTACGCAAAAGAGCATGGGCCCCCTCAGCCGTCAACCCGTTGTCCCGCAGCTGCCGCCAGTGTCGTAGGAAGCACCGTGTCTTGTCGAGAACTTCCCGTCCGCCGGTCGTGCCGTGGACTGGGAGTCGCCCGTCGTCGTCGTCTTCGTCACGATCGTACCATGGAACCGGGTTCCCCAGCACCGTGAGGGCTTGGACCCGGCGAGCCTCCAGCTGTTGCGGCAACGACGTGCCCTGTGTTGGCGTCCACACCTGGGTCTTGTCGGGGTTCAACGTAAGCCCGGCCGTCGTCAGCTCCTCCTCCTCCTCCTCCTCGTCCTCCTCCTCCTCCTCCTCCTCCTCCTCCTCCTCCTCCTCCTCCTCCTCCCCCTCCTCCTCCTTCTCCTATCCCTCCTCCTCGTCATCCCCCCTCCTTTCCTCCTCTTCCTCCTCCTCCTCCTCTTCCTCGTCCTCCTCCTCCTCCTCCTCATCCTCCTCCTCCTCCTCCTCCTCCTCCTCCTACTTGGCCTCTCGCACGGCCGCGCACCATTGGGAAAGCGGCCATGAGATCCGCAGAGTTGCGCTCGGGACCGCTCCATCAATGGATCCATGGTAGGCCATCCTACGTTGGCATGAGGGATGCGCGTGAACGTCATCACGGTGGTGCAGTGACTGCGTCCGAATGCACTTTGCACAATCACCTCGAAGAGAGGTTCTTGTTGGTGGGCAAAGGCCTTCATTTTGATTGATGACTGGGTTGGGTTCCCTCTTCAATCCTGCTCCTCATTTGCCCTGTGGCTCTTTCTCATTTACTACACCTCTGATCTGTCCACTGCTGCGCTTATTCATCCTCCATTCGCGGACTGGTTGCGCTGCCCTTCTTCGCGGGATTGTGAGGTTTGATGCAGGGTATCTATATATATATATATATATATATATATATATATATAAATATATACAAGACTGCAGTGGCGCTTCGCGCCATGCACCTTGGTCCTTGAAGTTTGGTGCGCAGGCGGAATAGCAGAAAGGTCAAGCCGACAATTTAACGATATGTCCTGGTTGCCGTTTCCGGCAACGCCGCTATAATGATAGTATTAGTTATCTTTCCTCCATGCTTCGTTTTCATCCTTTTCGCCATACCTTGCGCATTCTCCCCATCCTCCTCAGCTCTTTTCTGCGCAGGCTCCTCCTTGGAGAGCCTCTAGGGGCCTCACACAAGTTGTTTCAGGCTTAAGGCCTTCTGGAGGACTCCTGGGCGTATTCTGGGGGCCTCCGGGGGCTTCCTCGGGCCACCCTGCCTCCAACCGCGGTCTCCCTGAACGACCGAATCACGATTTGGAATTATTCGGAGGGTGTTGTTGGGCCATCTTGGGCGGCCATGGGGCTCTCTGAGGGCCATCTCGGACTCATGTTGTGCCGTTTTGGGGCTTTCTTGGACTGCCTTGAAGCCCTTTCGGATGGTTGTGGGGCGATTTTGGAGCCTCCCAGGAGGCTTCGGACGCCCAGAAGACCGCCGTCTTGGAGCGTCGGGAAACCGAAAAGAGAAGAACCCCACAATTCACCAAAAACCATAAGAAAATCAATGATTTTTGCCTCGGGGGCCTTCTTGGGAGTGCTCTTGGAGGCCTCTTTGGGGCCGTCCTGGAGGCCTCTTGGGCCATCTTGAGGTCACGTCGGTCACTCTCGGAGCCCTCTTGTGCTGTCTTGGAGACGTCTCCGATGACCCCTCTGATCTCCCTAGGTGAGCTGGGAAGGCTTGGCAAAACGCCCTGCGAGGCCCGGTGACCGCTTCGAGGCCCGCCTGGAGGGTCCACAAGCCCCAAATCCCGGGAGTCCGGTTTTTTTTTGGGGGGGGGGACGGGTTTTCCCCCCGTCTGGGCTTGTTAAAAAAATGAGACGAGGGACTTATCGTTATTGTCCTCTCTCTCTCTCTCTCTCTCTTTCTCGCCTTCGATTTCTTGTTTTCCCTGCCAGCGTCATGCGCGGGGCCCACAAGTCATGCCTGAAGTGAATGGATGGCGCGGGTATGGAGCAGATTTATTTGGCCCCGGACACCGGGAGTGATTAACGCCTGTTTGTGTCAACACGTGTGTCTTTGATGTGTTTTCAGATGTTTAGATTGTGCGGAGGAGTGCTCCCCCCCGGCTCCAGGTACGCCAAGCAGGTGGTTGATTTCGTGAACGCTGATTACAATTTGCTACAAGACGCGGAACGGATTGCACGTTCCATGATTGAAGGAGGGCTCGTTTCTTGAACAAGCAAAAGTTGTTTAATTGGACAATTGTGAGGAACACGACATTGGAAACCAGACCCTAATTGCCCCTGACAGTGCTCTGTCTTGACTCGATCCGCAAGCTCTCTGGGGCGCTTCTTCCCGCCAAGAGAAGAGGCCCCGGCTTTCCCCTGGAAGCCTTCTGACAAGCCACCAGAGCTCTCTCGGGGGCAAGTTTCCGTTCGCCCAGCTACTCCCACAGCTGGCACCTTACGAAACCCAGAGTCGACGAAGGATATGCCCGTAGATGTCTTTTAACAAGATGTCTCAAAGCATGTGCCAACTCTACCCCCTTCCGGCCCCTGCTACCGTCCAAGTGGTCCCACTGGCCCGCTGGTGACGCCAAGGACTTGCTACGTCTGTGGCATTCAGCAGAGCTCTCGCAGGTCACAGTGACCGTCTTTGGTGCCAGTGCTTGCCCCCGCCAATCAACCCTTTCCAGCCCTTGTGCTACTTCTGTCAAGTCCCAGTTAGGGCAGGGGCGCTCCAGGAAGGGCCTCGCCTTCGAGGAACGGAGGAGTTGGCATCTCTTCATCGGCGGAAGGCCGCAGAAGTACAACGGGGGCGGCTTCGCCAGCGGAAGGCCGGCGCAAGCCAGCGGAAACAGCAAATGTGGCCCGAAGAGGAGGCAACATGTTCCTCAAACCGTGTTTGCTCTTTGGGCTTCTTATTTGCGTATCTTAGGAATTGGATGGGTGTCCCGAGGATTCGCCATTTTCGTGCTTGTTGCCGCCCAGGTGCCGCCCGTTTCCGCCTGCGGGGGTGTCCCAGAGATTCGCCACGTTCTGGCCCGTTGCCGCCTGTTGCCGGCCGATCCGCTTGTGGGGGTGTCTTGGGGATTCGCCACGCTCTGGCCAGTTGCCTGCTGTTGCCGCCTGGGGGGATGTCAACCATGTGGTTCCACAAGGGACCCCAGGGAAAGAGACTTAAAAAACAGGCGATGCCGATATCTCAAGTTCTCTCGGCTTCGCCCACAAGGTCGCCGCATGACGATTTCACTCGCGCTTTTCGAAGTCTCAAGTGCAACTGCGCTGTCTCGGAAGTCCCTTTCGTTGGCGTCCCCTCCGGAAACGAGTCAGTCAAGGGGTTCGCCACGTTCCGGCCTATTCCGCCCGTTGCCGCTTGTGGGGGTGTCCAGAGGGTTCGCCATCCAAAGTGACAGAAATTATTGGTGGGGGCCCACTCTGGCAAACATTGGGTTCAGGGTCTTCAGAACCTGCCATATAATGCCAGTGCCTGTTCCCGTAAGTGGCCCTTGATAGGTTTCGCCCGCGATTTGGGCAAATTCCTCAGCCGTCTTGACTGCGTGAAATAGCCACTCCTAGCCCCTTCGTGCATTTTCTGTGCTCCAAGAGGGCCCCAAGACAAGCCCAAGATGGCCCAAGAGGGGCCCAAGACGGGCCTAAGACGCTCCAAGAGGGTCCCCAGATGGGCTACAGGCGGCCCAAGAGGGCCCCAAGACAGCCAATTGGGCCCCCAGACCGATCCAGAACAGCCCCAAGAGGCTCCCAAGTTGTCCTGAGGGACCAAGACGGCCCCAGAAGGCCCCAAGACGGCACAGGAGGCCCCCAAGAGGGCCTGAAAACGGCTTCAAGAGACCCCAAAAAAGAGGGCCCATTCGGGACCTAACATTAGTGCGCCGACGGTCAGAAAATCAATACATATATGTATGTATAGATGTAGAGATCGAACTAAACAGTATGTGTATTTATGCATATATATATATATATATATATATATATATATGTATATGTATATATATATATGTGTGTGTGATATGTACACATATATGTGCATGTATAACATGCATTGTGCAAGGATGGCAGCCTCAGGTTAGCAAACAAAGAATTCCAGCAGAGCGTGAAAAGGCTAGCTCAAAATACACACAAAGCAGGATCCATTACTGAGCGACTCTGCCAACGACCTTTCCGGCGGCACGGCGAACAGGCCCAAGAGCAATGTGGTGGGAACGGCCGGCACGTTGGGCCTCCCTCTGGAGACGACGGCCTTCGTCATCCAGTAGGGCGAACTGGTGGGGCGAGAGCTGGGGACAGCGCTGTACAATCCAGTCCCTGCGCCGAGGACGCCTCGAGTCAGACAAATGGGCCAACAGTCTTAAGCGCTGACCGAACTCGGATTTACAGGCAAGGCAAACAGACGAGTTGATGTACTTCCGAATTTGCAGCCGTTCTCCATGCAACGCGCGCCGGTGGCTCAGCAGAGCCTTCTCGGTCGCCAGAGGTTTCTCGCATTGGTCGCAAGACTGCCGCTTGGGTGGGGCATTTGTGTGAATCACATACAGACTCCAAGTAGAACAACTGGGACACGATGGTGCTCCACCCTGCCTTGTCCCGGAGAAGGTCGTCCCACTGAGCTGGGGCATCAACGGGAGAAGGAAATTCAGGAGGTAAAGCGAGGGAGCGAAGATGCTCCGCATCCTGGAGCAGCTGCCGCCCCCACGGCAATGGAACGCCAGTTACGCGCACGTGGAGGAGAGCAAGAAGAGCACGCGATCGCGCTCGGACGTTCATTCCCCAGACGAGCAAGCGGCCACATACATAGAGACATACATACATACATACAGACAGACAGACAGAAAGACATACAGACATACAGACAGACAGACAGACAGGCATACATACATACATGCATGCATGCATAAGTAAACACATGCATGCATACATACGTGCATGCATGCATACACACATACAGTCATACGTGCATCCATGTATACATACATACAGTCATTCAGACATTCATAAGTTTATGTATACATGCATACGTACATACATTCATATATACATACATGCATCCATACACACATACATGCATACGTGACCACACACATACAAGGATCCATATATATATGTATATATATGTGTATAATTTAATGTGTATATATATGTATATCTATATTCATACATGCATGCATCCATGCACACAGGTGCATGCGTACATACATGCATGCATGCATGCGTACATACATACACCTCTGCATACATACATACATACACATACATGTATGTATACACGATTGAGGCGCTGTAGCTCCTTCGGGCGCGGAAGCGTGAGGAACACTCCAAACAGCAATTTGGACAGCACCAGCGACTGCATGAAACAGAATGTGTGGGGGTGCGGCACTGACGCAGATCCAAACACTTTGGTGGCGAAAGGGGCGTACACCGCCATAGCGCTGGAACCTGGGTGCACGACGTTAGAAAAACACCCGCCATCAAGGCTCGCGCAAGTGCCAAGATGCTGATCATGCCTTACCACATCGATGCTGAGAGAACGATCGGGGACACGGAGCCGCAACTGGCCATCAGCACACCGACGTGTTTCACGGTGCGCACCCGCTCCTTTCCCTTTGTACCGTAGCACGGCCTCCGTCTTCCCGGGGGCAGTGGTGATCGCCAAGTGCAGGTCTTCGAAAATCCTCAAGAGATTGCCTAGCAAAGTGTCGATGGCAGCATCAAGGGAGGCACGGGAGGAGGAAAGAAGAACTAGACACTCGTCGTCGACAAATGTGGCATCCACGACAGACGCTGCGGAAGGGTCATAGCGAGACTCCACCTCGCGAGCCCCAAAAAGGGGTGTCGGGGAAAGGGAGCTGCAACGTGACTCCTGATTTTTGCGCTTCCCAGGCGCGTGCATCCAAGGCTATGGCACACAGGATCGAATGTGAAAGCACCTTGGCGGCCTCCTGCCTTGGTGCTCACCTTCTTACCCGCTCCAGCAACACCAAGCCATGAGCCGGCGTGACTCCAGCGAAGGCATCTACACACCACCACCGTGCCAGGCCTTGGCGTGACACGGTGGTGGTGTATAGATGCTTTCTGCGTAGCGAAGCGCATAGCAGAGGTCAGCGGCGCCAGCGGCGGCCTGCCACTGCTGCAAGAAGCTCCCACGCTCGGCAACATTTATATCCGCCGGCTCCCTCTGTGGGACTTGCAGGCTGCGCGGTGATGAGGCTTCCTGCGGCCTGCTGCAGTCATGGTGTCCATTTTCCAGCTGTGTAGTTTCCCCTTTATGGTACTACTGTAAGGTGCTATTGTCCGCGAGAGGGGGGGGGGGGGGACCGACAGCCAGCCGTGTACAACCCCCGAACCGCGCTGCCTGAATTTCTGGTGGGCCTGGGGCAGAAATACATGAGATTCGAGCCCCAATCACAACCTTCACGCATTACTCCAGCGCCACGCTCCCGAGGCCAGAATCATTACCAAAGTTTCAGCGCTTCGCGTAACCCCACCATCCCATCCCATCCAGAAGCGATGCCCAGGCGAGTTTCCCTGATCAGGGATGGATGTGGAAGAGTACGCTGTGAAACAACGGACTGGGGAAGCCGTCATACCCCAAGAGGGGGGAGGATTCAGAAGGAATCGGAGGAAGAGGGGGAGGGGAAGGGGGAGGAGAAAAAGGGAGTGGGCAAAAGGAGGAGAGAGGCAGAGGAACACGCGGAGGAAGAGGAGAAGGGCGAGCAGAATGGCCAGAGGCATCGTTGGATGCGCTCCTAGATAGCAAGCCGTCTAGCTCACTCCCACTTGCCATCCCAACACGTAAGTAACACCCGAGCCTTCGCATGTTCAGCGGTCGTCTTTGGATGAGCAGCTACTGGGAACCAAGCCGACCTCATGTGCTCGACGCTGGGGCGAGGTACGCCACGCGTGACAGGCGCGTAACGCGCGCCAGGCACCCCTGGGGCCCGAGTGTGCCAGGCACGCCGGGTGCGCAAGAGGCGCCACGTGCGCCAGGTGTGCCGCATATGCCAGCCGGGCCAGGTACACCACGTTCAGGGCACGCGCAGAGTGTGTCAGGTGCGCCTGCTCACGTGACAGCACGCATCGGGAAAAATGTCGGCTCCCATCATCCTTACCGAAAACCAATGCGCTTGCGCACAGCAGGCCATACGCCACCACCCCCGCCGTCCCTGTCAAGGACCACTTGACAGTGATCGCGGGGTGGCCGCGCATGGTCCAGATTTAGCTGCGAGGTGCATGTTTTATTGTTTTTGACAGTGATGGTGGCCCTGCGCACAGCAGGCAATATGCTGACACCCCCGACGACGCTGTAAAGAAACAATGCAGAGTGCCCGCGGGCCTCGCAAACATGGCTCATGACTTTGCCCAAAGTGTGGTTTGTGTTATTTTTTGATTGGGTGTGGGGGGGGGGGGGGGGCGCATCGGGTTAGTTGCACAAGCGCCGACTTTGAAGGCAGAGTTTGTTCTGTGTTGTTGTTTGACAGGGGTGGTTTGGGGAGTGAGCATAGGTATAGGGAACTCCCACAAGGGGAAGAAAGAAGAGAGGTTGGAAGAGGAAGCATTCTGAACCGCCTCCGCCCTGAAGGGCTGGTGGGATTCAACCAAAGTTGCGTTACCGAGGCCAGAATCCTTCGTAACGTACGCCAGATTCGCTCTCACGGAATCAGAATCCCATGAAAACTACACCTGATTCGCGCCCCCGAAACCACAATCCTCGAAAGATGCGCCAAATTCGCGCCCCCGAGCAATCCCTGGCAAGTTATGCCAGACTCGCGCCTCTGAGGCCACGTTCCCTTGTAAATGACGTCACGATTACCAGCCGTCCTCGCATGAGGTTCCGACATTGCGACATTGGTTCAAGTCGGCGCCCAGGCATCCCGACATAGCCATGGCATGTCTCATTGTGATAGAGAGGAGGCCGGCGGCAGAGGACGAAATCCGCATGGATGTAGGTAGGTAGGTAGGTAGGTAGGTAGGTAGGTAGGTAGGTAGGTAGGTAGGTAGGTAGGTAGGTATATATATATATATATATATATATATATATACACACCGGGGAACGGGACCTGGGGCCGCCAGATTGGTGCCTCGGACCCCCATGGGGGCCGCGGGGGGGGCTCCAGGACGCTCCCAGGGGCCCGAACCTCGACCACACATGTGGAGCCCGGGGCCCGGGCCGCCTCTGAGAGGGTTGAAATCGCCGTCTGGAGCCCTCAGACAGCCGTCCCGGAAGCCCTGGACGGTTTCGAGACGTTCCCCAGACCGCCTCCAGGCGTCTCCATCCGCCCACGATACGTTTTAAACTACCCAGGAAGCCCCCCCAAGACGTCCCAAGACGCTTCAAGATGCCGCCCTAGAGCGGCCCGAGAGGCCCAAATCGCTGATTGTCATTTGTTTTTTTTTTTTAAATGTTTTTGACATTATCCCTGTTTCGGCTTTCCGACGCTCCGAGACCGCCCAAGAGGCTCCCGAGACCGCTCGAAGACGGCCCCAGAGGCTCCCAAGAGAGCCCCAAGACGGCCCAAGAGAGCCCCAAGACTGCCCCCAGACTCGCCCAAGACGGCCCAAGAGAGCCCAAGAAGGCTCCAGGAGCCCTCGGACAGCCGTCCCGGCGGCCCCAGACGGTTTCGAGACGCTCCGAAGACCGTCTCCAGGTGTCTCCAGCGGCCCGCGATGCGTCTTAAGCTGCCGAGGACGTCCCCCGAGACGCCCCAAGAGGCGTGAAGATGCCGCCGACGAGCGGCCAGAGAGGCGTAAATAGTTGATTTTCATGTAGTTTTCCCATGTTTTTTGTTTCCTCGCTGTTTCTGCTTTCCGACGCTCCTAGACCAGCCCAGAGGTTCCCAGACCGCTCCAAGGCAGCCCAAAAGACCCCCAAGATAGGCCGAAGACGGCCCAAGAGAGCCTCAAGACTGTCCCCAGGCCCGCCCAAGACAGCCCAGGAGAGCCCCAAGAAGGCGCCAAGAGCGGCCCAAGAGAGGGAACACGCACCGAACAGTCGAGCTCTCCGCCCCAAGATGCCCCCAGGAAGCCCCCAGAGGCCCCGAAGACAGCACAGAAGGCAACTAAGAGACCCCCAAGAGGCCCAAAAGAGGCCTCGAGAGGCCCCAAAACGGCTTCCGAGAGGCTTCAAAACTGCCTACCGAGGTCCCCCAAACATGCTCCGGAAACGCGCTGCCGGAGCACGTTGCCGCCTCTCCTTCCAGCGTTCGGTGCCTAATGAAGACTTCAGTGGACAACCGTGCACCCAAAGCTCCAGCCTTCTACCTCAAGAGGCCGCCAGGAGGCCCCACAAGGCCGCCCAGAGGCCCCCAAGGCGCTCCCAGGGGATCCCCTCAGAAGCGGTTTCCAAAGGTTCTTGGGCCGTCTGCCGGCCACTCTGGGCGTATTCTGGTACGACGCCGCTCCGGAAACGCGCTGCCGGAGCACATTGCCGCCTCTCTGTCCAAC